ATATATATATATATATATATATATATATATATATATATATATGCAGACAAAATGTTAATATATTTGTAGAACACTTTTGAAGAATCGAGGCTAAAACGAGGCTAAAAAAAATTAGCATACAAAAATTTTAATTGAAATTTATTTATTGAATTATAAGTATTTAAAGTCTATTAAATAAATCAATTTGATAAAATTCGATTTCTTTATTATATCGTCTTGTTTTATATAGCGTGAAAATATATCTCACAAATATATTAATGAAATCCATAATAAAATATACAATTGTTCTTTTGTATTGTACCAAATTCGTATGTGATACAAAACTAAAGAGGTTACATGCATATTACGTATATAATCTTCAAATTCTAAAGAATATTGCATGTAACTCTGTTTTATACTTCGTCTATGGTTACATCCTTTACCGTCATAGCAATATTGAAAACAGTTCTCAAGATTACCGAAGATCCGGCGCGACATACAAATTCTGCAATAGAAGTTTGAAATCGTTGATCTGTATGTAACCATACATCGATGGCAGCAAATGCATTGTTGAGTAGTTATAAAGGTGAACAGTGGGGTTAGACTCGGGGAAGGAGGCAAAGAAAAGGTAAAGGTTAGAAGAGGTTATGAACTCTAACCCACGGATAGTTGATGAAGTTTAGTTGCTTCTATGAATTGCCCAAATGATGCATAATCAAATTTGTCATCGTTATTAATAATATAGGTAAGTCCTTATAAAAATGTATTTTTTAATGTTTAATTTTTTGTTATCCTTTTGTCGATACTTAAAATTTCAAACGCTGGCTCACTCATATCATGTCAATTCCTTTAATAAATATAGTACAAATTATTTACAATATTTATTTTAAATAAAATAATAATAAATAAAACATTCTCGCTTAATGACAACATAAAGATCACATGATATTTTGACATTGTAATTATGAAATTAACTCTGTTGATAATATTACTTTGTTGATCATTTTTTGACTTGAATATTAAATAATTTTCAAATTAATATTGTATATTTGTCATACACAATATTATAATATATATAATATACATACAACAAATTCAAATATTAGTATCAGTTTTTTACGAAGAGAATAAATTTAAAACTTCACATTGTGCAAATTAGAAATGAAAATATTAAACATTAACAATTAAAAATCTTGAAAAATATTTATATTTTTTTTTATTTTTAAAAATAAACACATTTGCATCATTATTTATTCTTTTAAAGAATGATGCACATTTATGAAAAATTGATTATGATAAAGTAAAAAGAAACAATAATATGCAATTAGTAATATAATTTTAACGCAGCGAATAGAATTACAAGATAAATCTGTGTCGATACAGTGATCAAGTAGGTAGGAGGTAACCTTCGGACCCACGAGCGACCTTTACCTGTGAAGTCCGGTCGTATAGAAATAATTACTCTCGAATGACTATTCTTCTTCACTGATGCTGTTCCAAGAAATCTTTAACTGACTTGGAATGATCATTCGAAAGGTTATAAGCCAACGTAATATATTTAGAGAATACGAATTTAAGTAATAAAAAAAACATTATTTTTAATAAAAAACAAAAAAGTATTATAATTTTTATATTTTTATATTAAAATAATTAGAATTATAAAATTATTATTATAATTTTAGACGATTTATCGAAATTTAAATTTATTTTTATTTCAAAATATAAAATTCAATTTATAATTATAAAATATAATTTTCTTTGTTTTATAAATTTTGTATATTTTTGGTTATAATCATGATATATAGTACTAATAATCGAATTTAAGTTATAATTAGGATTACATTTTCTTTTTTTTATTTTATTTTTAATATCATACTGTATATATATTTTTTTTCATGAAAAAGATAAAATTGTCATTAGAATTTTTTCAGTTTTGCTAGTTATAAGAAATTTATGTATTTTGTATGTAGTTAGAATATAAATGATGGCTTTATGTTTGTTTCTAAAAACAATACATAGGATATTTGATATTTACATAATATATATTTTTAATTTAAATTTTTGCTACTGTTTGCATTTGACCTATTCTCGATTGACGTCGCGACCTCGAGCCTCAACCGATAAGTCATCGCGGGCGTGTATTACGTGACATAACCTGTAACGCTCGTCGAGAGGCCACTATGCGGTCCTCTATAGCGAATGCTCTCGCTCAGGTAGAAAAGCAGGCAAGCGGGGCGAGAATGCACCTGGCCGGTGTGTCTTGGCGGTATACAAGAGAGTGACCTGCCAACCTGCCAGTACAGCGAACGGCCTGCCTGCGTTCACCTGCGCAAGGTTGCCTTTAAACTTCGACGTGGTGTTTTTGTGCGTTAGCGATTGTATTGAGTGAAACGATTTCATATATAGCAAATGTGTCATTTTGTCATATTTCCCCAATTTTAGTTTATTGAAACATTGTTTTTTTGAAACGCGAATATTATTCCGTGCGTATTATCGCGTGGCTAGCTACGTTATATTTTCAGAAACTGTGCGTGACCTGTGAGAGCGCCACCGCCGACACACGCAAATGCGGTGATACAGGTCGACCCAACAGGTAGTGTATTGTGTACCGTCCTCGAACTTTA